GACCCAAGTAACAATTTTGGTTTTATGAGGGTTCTTTAGACCATGATTTTGACTTGTAGCATGCTTTAAAACCACTATAAAACTTGCGATGTTACATGGGGAGTGAGAGGTAGTTTTGAGCTTTTTGGTGAAAAATCAATGTTTATATAAATGTTACATGCCATTTTTGAAAATGTGGATACCGGTCGGTAATCAGTCTTTTTACTGTAGTTATTATAACAAAAACAAAATTTTTGTACACATACAAGAAACATCAAAAAACCTACAAGTTGACGTTCTAAGATCACGACTAGCTTATTTGGTTGTGGAGTAATCTCTTCTGAAAGTTGATATTTTAAAAAATCTCGAAAATCCAGGGTTGTAGCCCAGAAGGATCTAGGCACTTTAGAGCAAAATAAAGTTCAGAATCACAATATAAGCGTTTTGGTCAAGTTTGGCTCAAATCAGTGACATCGACCACAGGTGGTGTACCCACATGAGCTAGAATGACCCACATGTGTTTGTCGGTAGTTGACGGAAGACGCCGTTCATCGCCACGAGGAACAGGGTAACGGCGATAACCGATCCTTGTGGGACACTCGTTTCCTCGGGGAAGAGCCGGGATTTGGTGTTGTCGACTGCGATTTGGAATGAGCGGTTGGATAATAAGTTCTGGATGAAGTGAACGACTCCAGTCGGAAAACTGCTTAAGGACGAGGGGCGTCCACGTTCTGTTGAAGGCCTTCGATATTTCCGCTGTCGTAGGCGTTCTTGAGAACTTCCCCTAGGGTTGCGAAATAGGTGGACGTTCCGAAACCTTGTCCGAAAGCGTGCTGTCGGTGATCAAGAAAATTTCGAGCTTCGAGGACGCTCCAGGACTTTGTCCATACAACATGTTAGCGCTATTGTACGGAACTTGCTGACCTCACGGGTGGTAACCCCGGCTTTCGGAATGGGAACTACCAAGGGTACCCGTTGGTGAGCCAGAGCTTGTTGAAGAGGTCAAGCATCCGTAGCTGTCCTGGTACTGGTAGCCTCTTGAGTAGCGGATATCCGAATTCGTCGAGTCCCGCCGACTTCCCGTTGCTGCAGCGAATGGCATGCTGCAGTTCCGGCCAAGAGAAGACTTGGTTAATACCGGTACTGGCGGTGTCGGGGGGAACTATGAAGTCTACGATGGATGCGGTCGATGGCTTGGCTTTCTGCTTGAAATTGTTGTCGTACTTGTCGATGGCTGCGAGGTTGGTGATCTAGGGACCTAGTTCATCAGCTACCGTTTCCGGATCGAAAACCGTGGAACCGTTAACCTGGACGTGTGGTGTCGTGCGTCGTTTCCCACTGAGGGCGTTGATTCGCTGCCAGAGGTCGGCCGAGAATTGCGATGCGTTCATCCCTCCCAGGAATGAACACCCATTACTTCCAGAATCTCAAATTCATTTTAGAAGAACTCTGAAAAGAACTCTGTAAAGGGAAATAATTAAATGAAGTAATGAAATTTGGGTTGTTAGCGGAATGCTCAATAAAACAGCAAAAAAGGTTATCTTCCATTTAATTCCACTTAATTAATTTTGGTATCCATGACAGATACGTATTTCGACTACAATGTGCAGTCTTCATCAGTGTCATTCCCACTAAAGAACTTATCAAAATCTAACCCCCTTAAGTACTCATCCCCTAGGTAAAAAAGTCAAGATCATAGGTATAAAAATGAAACTACAATGTGTTGAATCGGAACCTACCTAACTAATAAAAACCAAAGATTTAAGTAAGCTAAAGGAGAAAAATCTATACAACTCTCTAATAATGGGGATTTTCCTTATTAGAGAGTTGTATAGATTTTTCTCCTTTAGCTTACTTAAATCTTTGGTTTTTATTAGTTAGGTAGGTTCCGATTCAACACATTGTAGTTTCATTTTTATACCTATGATCTTGACTTTTTTACCTAGGGGATGAGTACTTAAGGGGGTTAGATTTTAATAAGTTCTTTAGTGGGAATGACACTGATGAAGACTGCACATTGTAGTCGAAATACGTATCTGTCATGGATACCAAAATTAATTAAGTGGAATTAAATGGAAGATAACCTTTTTTGCTGGGAAATAATTGTAAAGGAAATGCTTCAGAACAATAAAATAAAACCCTCTAAACTGCTCTTTTTAGCATAGTTGTTCCATTCGTTAAAACAGCAAGCTGAGAAAAACGCTGTTGAACTTTTTTTTCTCCTTGGGCTCTTAAGGACGGGACAACATAGTGTTGGTATTTTTCGCGACATTTTCTGAACAAAGTAGAAAACTTTTCATGTACATTGTAAAGTGATGGTAGTTGACAATCTATTCCAATGTATAACTCATTTTCTCTAAAAGTGCTAATGGGACTGTTATGCCGCACAGAGCAGTAAAGATTTGAGCGAATTTCCATTTCCGTCTTCAATTCGAACGCAGAACCAAATTCAAGATTCAGGAAAATCTATGTTGTCTTAGTATTGACCAAGGGGTTGGTCACTCCGCACAGATGGGCACAGCTGGGCACTTTTATTGGCACCCATTTTAGAAATTTTATTGATATTTAAAGTTACTGGCAACACTGTACTATATCTGCGCCTGCTCTGTGCATGAATCAAAATGTTCATTGGGGTCATTGGGGTTGACACAATTCAATTTTAGCCAAGTACAACTATGATCTGGAGGTGTACTGGAATTCTTCCGGATGGTGCTGGAGTTGCTACCGGCAGACTTCGAGATAGGAGAACCTCAAGAACTCACGACGATCGAACTGTTCAAGGATCTGGTGCGAAAGGCTTTGGTGTTTCAGAACAGTTTGATCGAAGTTGGGAAGGGGGTGGCATCGTTCCGGAAGCTGATTGAAAAGATGACCATGAAGGGACTGCTACTGGTCATAATGCCGATTCTGAATGTGATTAGTGGGGAGAGCGAGACCCTGAAGGAGGAAGTGAAGAAGTTGGTAGATCGATTTGGGGTGGGGAGATTCGTGACGGAGCTGAAATCAGGTTAAGTGGAATTGTAAGATGTTGATTGGTCAGTTGTTGGGCTTGAAGGTGAGCTCCAGAAAGTCGACATGGGTGAGTTGGTTGAAGGATAGGTTTAGCTCTCGGACACGACCCTGGTAACCCAACGTTTGAAATAGAATATTTATAGGCTTGGCAGAGAAGAAGTCCCAGTGAAGTGTAAAGTGACCGGTGTTTTTCATGATGCCCAGCGATTGGAGCAGCTCGGTAAGCATTTCAACATCGCGATGTTTGCAATAATTTTCGTGAAACTGATCCGAACGCAGCTTTTCAAACGCTATGAGGTACGAATTGATTATGGAATCCGAGCCGCACAGAAGGTCTTAGGGGGATCGGCGGACATCGATTGCCACCCATTGACGACAATCGAATGTACAGGAAAGCAACGTCCATCCATTGATGGTAATCAAATGTGCAGGAAGGCAACTTTCACACCTGCGTAGGATATCGCACCCATTCAACACACATGAGCCAGGACCAATGGCTTTTTATGCCTCAGAAAAATTCCAACGGCTCGGTTGTTATTGAACCCAGACCCATTGGGGGGAGAAAGCAGTCACCACCACCGGCGCCGGTCATTATTGATTCCTTATAACTTCACCACTTTGTTGATCAGCCAACCGACATTCAGTTCAATGACTCGTTTCTCATCGTAACTGACATCGATGATCACTCGGACCATGTTCGGAGGTTGAATTTTCACCGGTGTTTGCTTTCTTACCATCGACAGTGCCCCAGCTTTTACATGTGTTCTCTAGAGCTTTTTGACGTTTAATCGGCGCACACTACTGCACCATTTAAATCGAACGAATGCGAGCAAGAGGGAAACAGATTTGAGGGAAAACAAACCATCCATTCATCCATGTGTGCTAGATAGAGAAAGACGATTAAACGTCAAAAAGGTCTCTGGCCGGCACTGCTTTTCGCCAGAGACATCATACTTCTCTCCATTTGTCCGATCGTTGGACTGTTTGACCGTGTGAACATATTAAGTCTGATTCCGGTTGAAACTCCCACTAGAACACTGGCGACGCATCTTTGACTGAGTCGATCCTCCCGGAAGCGTTCATCAGAATCTGAAGAGCATCTGGACCAGTTTCTTCTTGTGATGCACGCTCGCTTCGTCTACTTACCACCCGAATTCGTCTACTGGTTCATCCGAGTCCTCATCATACTCCAATCCATTAGAAGTTATTGTCCTGTCGGAAATTGAAAGTGCCTCCCCCGGAGAACGTTCTCGCTCGAAGCTTCGATTCGGCGGCTGAGGCCGTTGCTTATTAGGTTCAGTGTATTCCTTTTCCTAGAGAATTTGGGAGCAATGAACCAAGAGTCACGACAGTTAGGATCTGGGATAGGATTCCACAGCTTGTTGTTTTGTTTCTTCAAAACAAAACATGTGAACTGTCAAATTAACCGGGTTGCCAAGCATACCATTATACAGACAAAAAATTCAGTCTGATGACACTCTCGGCACTGCCGGCACACAGGAAAAAGTTGGCGCAAAAGACGTGTGTAGAGTGACCAACCCTTGGTATTGACTCATTTAACCTAATGATCAACCATATTTTGTTGTATGCTTAATTTAAATGTATATCGCACAACCGGGAAATTCCTAACCTGGTTTTGCTGGTCACCATGGTTTTATAAACAATCAATTATATTCACAGGATTATGCATGTTTATCAATGATATGATACCCTTGAAAATGTTCAATCCGAATGATTTTCCGAACGGTTTATCTCCGGCTTGGTAATATCGTAATACCGTGTCTTAACTGATTGGGCTATCGGAGACCCAAACATTCAGTAGCTCCGAAAAGTGCCTTTCTTCTTCTTTTATACCTACCGAAAATCGTTACATTAATATTCAATTTCGTTCTATTTATGTTCCGGCGTCAGTCTCCAGTGCATAAAAATCCAACTTCCACCATCGCAATGTGACCCGAAATATTTTAATGATTTTCTCATAGTTCACCGCTTCTCTTTCTCTTCCACAGGATGAAATGGAAAAGTGGGTATCGGACACATTTTATTCCTACTTCCCGAGCTTCAACAAGAGCGAGAACGACAAGAAATCGATGCTGTCCTGCGCCCGACAAGCCGACTATCAGGAATATCTGAAAAATGTAAATCTCTTAGCTAATGTGGTAAACTATCCCCGTTCCTTCCGCGTATAAAATGCAACCCCTTAATTCGTTCAGTAAGCCAACTAATAATTTCCGTTTTTTTTTTTTGTATGATAATTCCAAAAACCATGCAATTCTTCCGTTCGTTGGATGGTTTGCTTCTGTTTAGCACCATTAAGTCGAAATCAGTTGACAAGTTTTCATCGATGACATTTCCTCGTTTCAGATTCCCCAAGTGACAACGAAGCACCAACAGTACATGGAAAAGTACGGCGATCAAGCCGTCCAGACAATGACCGATATGGTACCCGAAACCAATGCAACTGCCAGCAAGAATTATCTCAGTCCACATAGCAACCACCACCACCACCAACAACAACAGCAGCAGCAGTCGCAGCAGCACCAAAGCTCCCCGTACAGTCCCAGCCACATACCGACGATCAAGAAAACCCTGGCCAGTGACGCGGGCACCGGCTCGTACGTACGCAAAGGTAGCCCTCGCGAAAAGCACATGGAAGATCTGATCCATACTGATCTGTCTGCCATTCTCAATACAGATACGGTCGACCGGCGGAACCGGATGCTAGCGGAAGTAGGTCCCATCACCACCAACATCGTTTTTTCTTCCCTTCTTAACTCTTCTGCCAGCGGTGACAGAACCGCCGCTACTAATCAGCGCAGGGCACATTTCGCTGCCACTCCCCAAACGCGATTCGTTCCCACTAACGAGCGGAGAACGCTGCTGCTTGATGTACACTTTTTCTTTCCTTTGTCGCTTTATGTTATTAATCTTGTCTTTTCGCTTGATTTTCTGTCTTTTTACTTGCTGTTTTATGTTGTTTGAGTTCGGTTGATTTTTACTTTGGTGAATACTTTGGTTGTTCTCTTCCGCAGGAGGAAAGTCGACGAAAGCTGGAGTACCAAAAGGAGCTGATCCAGCAGATTGAGGAAAAGCGGAAGGAGGTGGAACGACTGCGGGAAAAGGAAAAGCTGGAGGAAGAGATGCTAACCAGGTGAGTGGATTGCTTGCAGTCACCTCGACCTGGGGACCTCGGGTTCAATTTCTGTCGAGTTGCTTGATGTCTTTGTTGAGGTTCCACGAAGAAATTATTATCTCTTGTAGCATAGATTCTGAGAAGAATACTAAGTAGAGTTTCTAGAGAATTACAAGAGATCCTCTTAGGGGCATTTTGGGAGAATACATTTCTCATGTGTAAATGCTGTACCAAAAGATTTCCGAGGAACATTTAAAACGGATTCTAAAGAAAATTATGGTTGAGCTATCAAACAAATTCTCTTGAGAATGACTAAGAATGTCAAGATTAATTAAGAGTGAATTTCAATACTTTTCTGGAAGGAATTTCTTAAGTGTTTTGCACTGAATTCCGGTAACTGCTGTGGAGAAAATTTCTACCGTACAGACTCATAGTGAGAGGAATCCTGGAAGTAAAGGTCAGATAGGCAAAGATATCTAGATGTGTTCCTAAGAAACAATTTAGTAAATTCAAACATTGACAATTTTTCAAGATTCCTTGCACATAAATTGAAGATCCAGGATAACAAAAATTCTTAAGATTCTGAGCCTTCGATTGAGAACAAATTTCGAGATCCTGGTCATAGAAAACCGTTTAAGATTATGGAGCTAGAAATTTCAGAAATGTGTACCTAACAGTAAGTGCCTAGATAGGGGAAATGGCTCTAATGTTGGCCTATGGAGGTTGGGCTCATCGCTAAAAATATGCTGTTTATCAATTTCATCTAAATGAACGCGTCATTGGGACGGTACTAATGAATATTTTTGGTCGTTATTGAAAATTTTGTCGCTTGCTGAAATTATGTATGGGCCCAAGTTAAGGGCATTTAGGCCGACATTACATCCATTTCCCCTGAGTGGGAAAAATCCTCTATGAGCAGTTCCAAGCCAAATATAAAAAAAAATAGTTTTTGACTCGACTCCGATGTGCATGATGCAAAGTTTATTGTTTGTTATGGGTATCATTCACATTTTTGCTAAAATTCAGCCACTTTGGATCTTGTTTTTTTTTTTTCCAAAATGGCTCATTGACATTTTGCATTAAATTGTAGCACAAAAACGTCACTCGATTGTTTCCGGCCTTTTTGATAAACAACGAAAATTTAATTCGCTTCGCTCGGCTGCCATTGTTTCCTTCTAATCACAAAATGGCTCAACCAGTGAATCCATCAGTATTAGCTTCGGTCGCAATTAAGCTACCCGAAGAAAGCCTGACCCAGCTATGAAGTTTGCACAAGCTGAAGCCCAGTGCGCAGTCCAAAGGTCTGAAGTGCCGGGGGTTTAGCAGGTTTGGCCACATTGTGATGCACTGTCGAGAACCAGGGAGGTAAGCAAGCTGATGCTTTTTGTACTGTACTGTCCACGTGCGGATCCACGGAGAAGGATGAATGGTACCTAGATTCAGGTGCTACCCGGCACATGACGAAGTGTGTGGTTCTGCTCGACAATGTGAAAAATGCAAACGGAACGGTTGTAGCTGCAAACAAAGGGTCGTGAAGATCGAGGCATGCGGAACGGTCAAGCTGTATCCTACTGGCAGTAATAATGATGACGGAATTCCAGTTCATGATGTGCAGTTTATCCCTGGACTATCCACGAGTCTCTTGTCGATCATCACGGCGAATGAGAACGACTCAAATTTGAGTTTAGTTCACTCATAATCGCCAAAACTGCAGGAACTCAGCGATGAGTAAAATCTGTCTCATGGTTTCCTGTGGAAAACCTGAAAAATTTGCCGGAAATTGATGAAAGTGACGAAAATTTTATTCAGTCTCGGAGTAGTATACCAATAGACTGAGTGAATCCAATCTTTACTTTTCTCAAATTCAGGATTTTTTCCCTGGAAAATCCTGGAAAAACCTGGGAAAACATGAGGCAAATTTGCTTATCGCTGAGTTCCTGCACTTTTGGCGATTATGAGTGAACTAAACTCAAATTTGAGTCGTTCTCATTCGCCGTGATCCAAATCGTGAAAAAGGGCTACACGGTTATGTTTAAGGAGGATGGCTGGACGTTGATGGGAGATTGGTTGCAACAGGTGTTTAGAACGACTTGTTCAAGCTGGATCAACTCAAGCCAACCGGAAGTGCGATGCTGACCTCATGTCGAGCAACATTGGAGATGTGGTACAAGCGTTTGGGGCACATCAATGTCTAATGGAGTGGCAAAAGGAGTTGAAATCAGTGCAGCAGATTGTGGTGTGTGTTCCGTCTGCCCGATGGGAAAGAAAGCAGGCTAGACTTCCATTCAGCAAGAGCGGTTCGAGAGCACAGGAGTTGCTTGAAGTAATCCATTCTAATATCTCGGGACCAATCAAAGAGGCGTTATTTGGCGGTAGTCGATGTCGGATGTTTGTCTTTTTTCTCAAGAGGAAATCGCATCAGGAAGAAGTGCTATGTCGGTTCAAGGAATTCCATGCGTTTGCGGAGCGTCAGTGCGTATCGAAAATGAAAACGTTGAGGACAGACAACGCCAAGGATTACGAAGAAGACGGGAATCGAACATCAAACCACCAATAATTACACACCTGAGAACAGAACGGGTTAGCGGAACGTGCTAATAGAAGAGCCACAGACAAACAGACAAAACACATTGAATATTTGCCATTGTAAAACATCGTCGTTAAAACATTACCGCCATCTGTTGAGTATACTCGGGTGGGCTGTACGCTGAACAGATGGCAATAGTGTGTAAACGTCAAACGCAAGGGAATTGACTATGCGCGCCACAGGTGGCAGTATTACCAACTGAGATACTTCTAAACTTTCCTTACCAATCAGGCTAAAGCCTTGTTGTCCTCTGCTGTCCGAAGAAGTCGTCTCCACTCTACTCGATCCATGGCCACAGTTCGCCAGCCCCGTAGTCTGCGAAGGGTCCGCAGGTCACCTTCTATTTGGTCGATCCACCTTGCCCGCTGCGCGCCTCTTCTTCCTGCCCGGGTCGCTTTCTAGAACCATTTTTTTCACTGGGTCTCCCAGCAGCTGGTGCAATTCGTGGTTCATTCGCCTCCTCCACGTTCCGTCATCCATCTGCACTCCACCGTAGATGGTACGGCGGCGAATTTTATTCGACCGGAGCGTCCTCCGGAGTCCAAAGTAGGCACGATTCCCTGCCATAATGCGTCTTTGAATTTCTCTGCTGGTATCATGTTCGGCAGTCACCAGTGAGCCCAAATACACGAACTCATCGACCACCTCGATTTCGTCACCGTTAATCTGAACTCGGGGTGGGAGGCAAACATTGTCTTCCCTAGAACCTCTTCCTTTCATGTATTTTGTCTTTGATGCGTTGATGGCAAGTCCAATCCGTCTAGCTTCAGCCTTCAGTCTGATGTACGTTTCCGCCATCATCTCAAAGTTCCGTGCCATAATGTCAATGTCATCGGCGAAGCCAAGGAGCTGGATGGACTTCCTGAATATCGTGCCACTCGTGTCTATCCCAGCTCTTCTGATCACACCTTCTAACGCGATGTTGAACAGCAGACACGAAAGTCCATCACCCTGCCGTAACCCCCTTCGAGAGTCAAAGGGACTCGAGAGTGTCCCCGATACTCGAACAACGCACATCACTTGATCCATCGTCGCCTTGACCAATCGCGTCAGTTTATCCGGAAATCCGTACTCGTGCATAATCTGCCATAGTTGATCTCGATCGATTGTGTCGTATGCGGATTTGAAATCGATGAACAAATGATGTGTGGGCACGTTGTATTCGCGACATTTCTGCAGAACCTGCCGAATCGCGAAAATTTGGTCCGTGGTAGCACGGCGACGGCACCCATGAATCCCGCCTGGTATTGCCCCACGAGCTCTCTTGCAAATGGTGACAGGCGGCGACATAGAATTTGGGAGAGTACCTTGTAGGCGGCGCTCAGCAGTGTGATCGCGCGGTAGTTGCAGCAATCCAACTTGTCGCCCTTTTTGTAGATTGGACATACGCATACTTCCATCCACTCCTCCGGTAATATCTCCTCCTCCAAATCTTGGCAATTAACCAGTGCAGCGCTCTAGCCAGTGCTTCACCACCGTATTTTAATAGCTCACTTGGTAGTTGATCTACACCAGTTGCTTTGTTGTTCTTCAGCCGACCGATCTCCTCCTCAACTTCTTGAAGATCAGGAGCCGGTAGCCTGTCGTCTTCTGCGCGTGCTCCAAGGTCTGTTGCCGTGCCACCTTCGTTTTCTGCTGCTTCACCGTTGAGGTGTTCGTCATAGTACTGCTTCCACCTCTCAATCACCTCACACTCGTTCGTGAGAAGGTTACCGTCCAAGTCCTAGCACACATCGGCTTGCGGCACGTAGCCTTTGCGTGAACTGTTAAGTTTCTCATAGAACTTCCGTGTGTCGTTTACGCGGTAAAGATTTTCCATCGTCTCGCGATCTCGGTCTTCCTGCTGACGCTTCTTCCTTCGGAAAACCGAGTTTTGTCTGTTCCGCGCTTGTCTGTATCGCTCCACATTCAATCTCGTGCGGTGTTGCAGCATTCTCGCCCGTGCTGCATTCTTCTCCTTTACTAACAGTTTGCATTCGCCGTCAAACCAGTCATTTCTTCGGTCCGGGATTGCAGTACCTAGTGCCGCTGCAGCAGTACTACCTACGGCTGAACGGATGTCCCTCCAGCCATCTTCAAGAGAAGCTGCGCCAAGCTGCTCTTCCGTGGGTAGTGCAACTTCCAGCTGCTGCGCGTAGTCCTGGGCAACTCCGGCGCCCGTAGTTGATCAATGTTGGGTCGCGGCGTTCGACTTCGACGTGTGTTATGCACCGTCGAGAGTTTTGAGCGCATGCATACTGCATAGTGCATGCCCGATTGCCGGTCTATACATTGCCTCCCGTCCTACCTAAGCGTTCATGTCGCCGATGACGATTTTGACGTCCCGTTGCGAACAGCTCTGGTAGAAAGTAGCCGCTCGATGCCCGCTTTTCCATACCTTTTGTCCCGTCCAGCAAAGTTCCTACAGTGCTACGACTTCGAAGTTGCGTGGTTGAAGTTCGTCATAGATTAACCTATCGCAACCCGGGAAGCCGAGCGATTTGCAGTTCCATGTTCCGAGTTTCCAATCGTAGTCCTTATTTCGTCGCGTAGGTCTGTGCCGATTGTTCCGATCCGTATTTCTTTCTTCGGTATTTGCAACTTTGTTTTTTTTTTAGGGCGGCTTGTTGGGCCTGCCCCAACCCCCTGTCTTGCCGGGGGACCATCGTGCACAGCTCTGTTTAGAGTCCCACGCTGGCACTAGGACGGTGATCAGCCACTCCTAACAGGGCGAACAGACGCCGTTTTGAGCCGCACCTCCATGATGAACAGACGCTCAGGTTTGGTGAAGCATTTCCTCTCACTGTACTATAGTTACCGCGCCAGTGTTCGCGTCGCACCTCTTCACTTTGCTATTGCCGGACTGGCAACATTGCCCAGGCTACGCCACCCAGCTGTGTCCATGTTTCAGCTGGTAGTCTTTTGTTATCATATGACTCGAGGAGGCGTGAAGTAGGAGCTTGTGAGGACCAGGGCTAAGAGTTCCGCTCCTTCCAGGTTGTCAACTCACCATTTTGTATGATCCTGTATTGAAATGCTTTCAAAAGTGTCGTGAGGTAAAATTCATTGGTGAAGGTTCAAAAAATTTTTCTTAAACTATTCCCAGTGGTTGTTCCAGTGGAGTTTGATGATATGCACACTACGTCACGTATAATACGTATACGCAGAATGTTTTCATCAGGAAAAAAAAAAAACTTCATAGCGGAAAATTTTCCTGATGAAAACAAATCACAGGCACAATCACACTTCAGCAATCTCTATAAAGATTTTTCGATTCTCTGCAAAGGTATTCCTGTGTCAAAATCTTCACAGACTTCTGAAGAAACCTCGAGCGACTTCGAAGGGTTTGGTTCCAGTGGAGTTACTGCCGTTCCGATTCAAGAACAGGGTGTTACTTGTGATGAACCGAAATCGTTTGCTGAAGCGATGGCATCTCCGTATGCGGAACAGTGGAAGAGAGCGATGCCCGATGATCTGCAGCCAATCAAGCAGAACGATACCTGGACGTTATTGGACCTCCCACCAAGCAGTTGGCAGTATGTGGGTGTTCAAGATCAAGCGTGGCGCAGAACGAGAGATCAAAGGTTTAAAGCTCGTTTGGCCGCTCAAAGATTCAGAAAATTACGATGAGATGATCGCTCCAGTGGTACGCCAAACTACCTTCCGGACGTTGATGGCGATAGCTGCGAAGAAATACATGGATGTTAAGCAGTATGACGTCAGGACCGCGTTTCTCTAAGACGATCTTGAGGAGGAAATCTTGATGAAACAGCCAAGGGTAATGAGTAGAAAGTGTGCAAGCTGAATCGTGCTGATATGAAGTCTAACAGCGGAATTGTTTTCAAAGTAAACGGCGGAACCGTAAGCTGGGCTTACTGGAAACAATCCTGTGTGTACCTATCGACTACAGAGGCGGAATTGACAACCCTATCTGAAGCGGTTCAGGAGGCGTTGTGGTTGAAGTCATTCCTACAGGACCTAAACGACGAGCAAGCAGCAAATACATGAAGATAATCAAAGTTGCCTGAAGATGCTCGTGTCCGAGAAGTTCAGCAACAGAACGAAGCATATTGCTACAAAGCTGCACTTTACTCGTGATCAAATAAAGAAGGGAGAGGTTAGCTGCGTCTACTGTCCAACGGAGAACATGCTAGCAGACCTGTTAACTAAACCGCTGCCAAAGATGAGGACTAATAGCAAATCCGTTTATTATTCAGTTCCAACCTGGATTGGGTATCAAGATTGGGTCTGCTTGTTTTCTGATAAACGTCAGTTTGATCGTTGGTTTTTAAAACCTACCAACCGCCGAATTCACTATAAGAAACTTGCAGAGATGATTGGCCTGACAGTTGCTGGCTAGGAGGAGTGTTGAAGTTGAAGACGGAAACGATCAAAGTAGTCATGGCTATGTTACCTGTCTGACATATTGAACTTCGTACAATACAGGCGTTAGTCTTCTGCGTTTACTATTGAACAATATTATTGAATCAATTAAAACTCAAGAGATTTGATGCATAGCGGGTGTTGCTTTTAAACTGTATTTGATTACACTCTGATAGCATCTGAATCATTGCTAAATTTGGCACTATCGTGCTGACCATGAGAACTCAATAAAAGCGGTTTGATGTGTCTTATGCTTGATTCGACGCAACTGGCAGCCACAGCATGCTATTAAAGCTGATAATCGGACGCCAAATGCTAATTTTTCTCTTTTGGCAATATAAAATAAAGGTAAGAACCATTACCCGAGGACACCAGGCACCTGTTCTGATGCTATTTTGATATAAGCGTTCGTGATAACATATTTTGCCTACCCTTTTGGTCGAGTTAACAGTAATCATAACAAAAATATTAATTCAAAAAGAAAAAAAAAAATAAAAAAAAATAGTATATCAAATTACCTATGTGATCAATATGATTTCAAAAACATAATTTGATATCATAATAATATCAATTGTGATATCCGACTTTGCAAAACAACCAAAAACCTTCTGGGAAGTAAAAGGGCGAAGATAAATATTTAAGATATCGGACTTCGAGTGTTTTTGAACTCTGTTAATACGGGTAAAACAAAATATTGTAAAGTTCCAATAAAATTCCCGGTTATCCCAGTTCAGTGGCCACCCTGCAACTATGTCCCTATTGTATACCATAGCCAGCCTGATATTAGTCGTTCCTAAATTAAATTTCATTACCCTTATTCTTCCCGTGCATGTTTCCTACAGCCGCTTGGAGCAACAGTTGAAAACCATGCAGCTGGAGGAAGAACTGGAAAGGGAAAAAATGCGCTCCGAGAAGGTAAGTACCTATCAACTAATGAAAACGTCCCAACATTCTCAAACTGACCATCCTTCTCTCGACGCAGATTCGCATTGCCAACGAGCAGAACCACATCCGCCGGCTGCAGCTCCTCTCCAAGCTGGAAAATGACCACAAAGTGTTCAACCCGCACGACGACCAGCGGAAAACCCTTTCGGAAAATGGCAAAGAAGTCTACCTGGACCCGTCGCAGCAGAAACCGGAAAAGGAAAAAATCTACCGCTACTTCAGCAACTCGGCTCAGAACGAAAAACCCGCCAGCTTCACCTCTTCGAGCATCTCCTCCGAGCAGGACTACGACTCTTCCAATGAATCCATGAACTACGATCGCTATCAGTACTGCAAAAACTGCCGCACTGACATCGATCGATCGTTTCTTCCACAAAACACGCACCGCCAACACCATCACCATTCACATCGTCATCATAATCTCCAGCCGAATCCGGCAGCTGCTCCCCCCAGGAAAGAAGACGCACACTGTCTCAGCTGTCGCAAACGGATCGAGAAGCTTTGCGCGAATTGTGACCGCGTGATGAAGCGGTCGATGAAGCAAAATCTGTGCACGATTTGCCATCAGGCGCTGGAAAATAGTCGACTCCAGAAAGCAGCTCAAACGGAACTGAAACGCCAGCGAAACAAGTTGCTTCGCTCGATGGAACGACTGGACGACGAAGATGAGCTGGAACGTCCAGCTCCTCCTCCCGCAGTGTCAAGCTCACCACCCCCGAACCCGTACAAAATCATCGACATTCAGTATCACGAGAGCGAAAATGACCACGACCTGGCCGTGCTAAATCCGGTAATCGTACGCAACAACTACAAGAAACCGTACTCGCTCAACATTGACAAGGACTCGCTCTTCCATCCGAGTAAGAAAACACCCGACCCGAAAGTATCGGTCAATATCCGCAACGGCGAGGTCTTCGTGGACAACAAGCTAAGTGGAACGCCAAAACTACACCACCAGCAGCAACAGCAGCAGCCGCAACACTCCAGGGAGGACGATACCGATGACATCACCACCGACGAAATGGACGATCGGATATCGAAATACGTGAAGCACTACAACACGCTGTGGATGAAGCGGAGCACCCGCAAGAATAACCTCATCTCGCAGAAGAATGCCAACGTAACGACGAACCCTTCGGGTGTACTGGGCAGCAAGTTTGGACCGCTGCCTTCGCTTTCGCCGCCGAAAGTGTACGTCAGCGATCGGGCCGATAATCTGAAGAGCGACGCCATGAAGATCACCGAGAAGAAGTGGGATGTGAGTATATAACACGTGGAAAGATCATTAATTTGATCTAGTCGGGGCTTTAGGGCAAAAGTGCCCAACCGCTGAAACAAAATTTTCTTTTTTTTTTTTAAATGACTGCAATGAACGTGTTTCAAGCTGCATTTTGTTTATTTCTCTTTTATTCCGGAATAATTATGAATAAAATTGGACTAATATGATATCATTGCTGAAATGCAGACACCACGTCCGGCCTGCGGGCCGCACGCTGGGCAGCACTGCTCTAGGGGCAGTTCGCAAGTTTTCTGATTATTGTCAATGTGTCCTACTATTATAGGCGCCTGAAGATGTTGATGGGCGGAAGGACTTCAGAATTTTACTCATACAGCCAAGATTCCTATAGTGCGGATTCGTTCTTGCCGGATTCCTATAGTACTGATGCCACTGGATTCCTATAGTACGGTCGATCCGGCATTAACGATTTGAGCTAATTGGGACCAAACACTGTACGGCAATTTGAAGAGATAACTTCCTGATGTCTTTGGAGAAGTTGTTAGGCAGATAGTTGGCCACCTTTTGGAAACAGTCAGTTTCCGGTAGGACACAAGTCTGGTTCTGTGGAAGATCCGGAACATCCGTATATGCGGTCAATTCATGAAACTGATCCTAGAGCTCCGCGGTTTTTTCGAAACCACTCATAGCCGTCTTATCAGAATAAATTCGGAGGAATGACCAGCAAATGGACCCTGGGGATGGTCAACTAAAAGGTCCGGAACATCCGTAAAAGTGGTCAATTCATGAAACTGCTCCTAGAGCTCCACGGTTTTTTAGAAACCACTCCTAGACATCTTATCAGAATGAATTCTGAGTTGTATTCGAAATATGGACCCTGGAGACTACGCGATGGTCCACCGGAAGATCCTGAACATCCGTAAATGTATTCAATTCATGAAATTGGTCCTAGAAGAGCTCCGTGGTTTTTTGGAAACCACCCATAGACGTCTTATCACAATAAATTCGGAGTTGTGACCAGAAAATTCATACTGGGGACCACAGGTTGGTCCACTAAAAGATCCGGAATATCCGTAAAAGTGGTCAATTCATGAAACTGATCCTAGAGCCCCGTGTTTTTTTTTAAACCACTCATAGGCATCTTGTCAGAATGAATTCGGAGTTCTGTTCGGAATATGGAGACTACGGGACGGTCCACTAGAAGATCCGGAACATCCGTAAAAGTTATCAATTCATGAAATTGATCCTAGAGCTCCGTGGTTTTTTCAAAACCACTCATAGACGTCTTATCACAATAAATTCGGAGTTACGACCTGAAAATGTATACTGAGTGTGAATTTCGACCTGGTTCAAAGGGGAATCCCCCAACGCTGTAGCTTGCAGCTAAATTGTTACTTACCTCTTCGAGCTCCTGGGAATGAAAAGCCACGAGTTCTGGGTTTTCAAATATACGAAGCATAGCCTACTTTGATCAAATCGACATAGAGTGTACGTCGACTTTAATTCCGTATACATTTCTACCGAATCATTAATACAGCTCATTTCACACTTTCCTAAGCTCATGACTGTATACCGCACACTGAGGACCACGGAATTAAAGATCCGGAACATCCGTAAAAGTGGAAAATTCATGAAACTGATCCTAAAGCTCTGCGGTTTTTTTTTTCTTAACCACTCATATACGTCTTATCACAATATATTCGGAATCCTTTAAATTTGTCGAACCTCTTAACGGAATCCCTTTTATGAAGAGCTTTGAGTGGGTTGGTTTATTTCCTTTAAATTCCGTTATAATTGCTTATCTTTTGACAGATACGCGTATTTCGTCTACTACTTGCAGACTTCATCAGTGCCAAGTACTCAACACCACCAACGGATACTCGAGACTCTTTAGCATGCTACCTAAAACAACACATCGTAGCATGTCTCTACCTGTTGGAGACTGAATTTAGGTACCTGTTTAGGTAAATTTTGACATGGCAGTGGATACCTGCTGATTTTTAGTACCTAACGGAATTTAAAGGAAATAAACCTGCCCACTCAAAGCTCTTCATATATTCGGAGTTTTGACCAGAAAATTGATGCTGATCACGGGATGGTCCACTAAAGGATCCGGAACATCCATATAAGTGGTCAATAATTAAACTGATCCTAGAGCTACGCGGTTTTTAGAAACCACTCATAGACATCTTATCAGAATGAATTTGGAGTTGAGTTTGGAATATGGACTCTGGAGACTACGGGATGGTCCACCGGAACATCCGTAAAAGTGCTCAATTCATGAAACTGATCCTAGAGCTCCACCACTCATAAATCAATAAGACGATATTTTTAAATGGCTGAATGAATTTGGATGTGTCCAAGAAATAATATTCAAAAATTCCGTTAAAAGTGAAAGAATTACTTGAATACCACCTTGAAATCATCCATGATGATAAATAGAAAAATTATGTCTATGAGCAGTTCTAAAAAACCACATCTTTTCTTTAGAGCACAAATGTTCCGGATATTCCGGAGGTCTATCCGATGGACCCTGGGGTCCATTTTCCTGTCACAACTCCGAGTTCATTCTGAATAGATGTCTATTATTTTCCAGGGGAACGTCTATGATCTTCCAGAGGAGCATTCATGGTCTCCAGGGTCTATTTTCCTATCATAACTCCGAATTCATAAAAATGAGAAAACGTCTATGAGAATTTTCGTAAAAATACGGAGTTCTTGGATCAGTATCATGAATTGACCTCTTTTACGGATGTCTCGGATCTTTCGGAGGACCACCCACTGCACAATGGTCCCAAACCCGAATTTAGGTATATAGTGTTTTCGGAAAAGTTTCTTCATATTTTTTGGCCGATTTTTTATGTTAGTGAAATTGGGTGGTCCACAAAATTGGTGATTTGAAAATACATTTTTTTGAAGTAGGACTACGCCTGTGATTTGTATATGGGGGTACACTTTGTAAAAACCGAAAAAGGAACATGTAACAAAATTATGACAGATTTTGAACGTTAATAACCTCAGCTGCCCCTGGACCGATTTCAATATTTTTTCACCGATCGATCAGAAATATTTCTACGCATCTGCTAAGATTAAGACATTATCATTTTTCAAAATGTCATTGTTTAAAATTGCACGAATGAGCAACTGTTGCTATGATAGTTAAAATTATCCCCAATTGCCTGCGAAAAGCGATTTCCCTAACACAGATTTCAAAGTTGAATTCCATCCGGTCTCACCAAACGGTGTTTATTCAATCACCGCGTGGTGAGTGGTGGTGTTCTCCAGTACACAACGAAAGGCTCCCCGCATGCAGCTAGCTATCAAGGCTGACCTCAACCGCCGATCGGATTCAGTTCCAATCACCGTGTATGGGAGTGGCTGGTCGTCGGCATCAGCAGCAGCAGTGCTTTCGGCGCGTAGCGTTGAACATTGTTCTCCAGTACACAACCAAAGGCTGCCTGCAAGCAGCGAACTGCAGCCCACATGAGCATCCATAGAAAGAGGAAGAAGCTGCACCGCTATTGATCGGAATCAGTAGCTCTTCGTGAGTGCGTCACCCTTATTCCAAACAACATACAGCTCACCAGCCTCACCACCACCCTAATAGCTCAGCATTACAACATACAGCTCACCAGCCTCACCACCACCCTAATAGCTCAGCATTACTCAACCATCACGACAAAACGGTCCTTTTCAGGACTACCTTAAATATGAAAAAGTATTTTTTTGACATCAATCGGATGTCAGTTCCCATATCAAGATAGAGCTGGAATTAGGGCGTAACAGCTTTTGTAAACAATGACTTCTTTCGATGATGATTTAAAAGTCAAGGCTCGCCCGCGCAAATCAACATCACCATCAGGTAGGGTAAGACTTCCCCTACCCGACGGTAATGTTTTTTTGAGTGGGCGTGTCTTGATTTCCTAAAGGCTAGGTTAGGTTATCTTTATTAGTGAGAATTTCAGCCAGATGCTGGTTCATCTCTTGACGAATATTGGGGAATCCAGAAGGGGTCCACCCTAGTGACAGAATGAATAAGGTGGGGTATCCAGAAGGGACCCACTAATTAAGAGGAGAGGACAGTCCAGAAGAGACCTCCCTGGTAACAGAGTATTTGTTTATCAGAGTTGGCTATCGAGGTGCTGTCGTAGTTAGTAGATGTTCCTGGTTTGGTGCATTTGGTCGGCTAATTGTTATGGTGATGTATTCAGAGTCCGTTATAGAGGTTGGTCCTGGTTCAATCCGGGGGGCGGTTATGGTTGGTTCTTGTCAGTGAGTTAGGTCAGATGTTCTTGTACATGTTGGCGTCCTTGATGAAACATATAACAGTTGCTTCGGTTGAAGGGTCATTGGCCAAGACGTTTCTAATGTTCGTCGGGATCCCATAAAGATCCCTAATTCCCTGGAAACCTGGGCAATTCACTAAGAGCTGCTCTACCGTCATCGTTGTGTTGCAAATATCACAGTGTTTTCGGAACGAAGTCGCACTTCCCATATTGTGGGTCGTCCGAGTATGTCCTGAGCGGAGACGAGAAAGAATCAGTTGGTGATGACGGTTTGGAAAATCTTGCCACTTGGTGGTTTCCCCTTTGATTTTACGGAAGAACGGTTCCCTTTTGCTGGCCCACTCCTTGGCTCAAGCATTCCAAAGTTTGAACTTCATCCAAGTCTTGATATCAGGTCCTGGAACGGTCCGCAAGATGGTCTGCTTCACAATTCCCCCGGATGTCGCAATGCCCGGGGATCCATAGGAAGGTAGTGACGACGGAGCTTCCAGTTGGATCCCTTGGATCCAAGGATGTCTGGATGTCTGGGATTTCAAAGCTGTTAGTACGTATGCGTGCATTTCTCGCGAGTTGTTACCAGCCTGGCAACCGAGAGGTCAACGTGAAGGCTTGGTTCTGCCCATCCTCTGGTTCCGGTCCAATGTAGTCTCAACACTGGGGGGAGCTCCTGATGGGCCAGGTTCTTTAGAGCTCTGTTTCCCTCTCTGAGGAGACAGACTTCTTCGTTTCCGGCAG